ATCCTCTTTGACTCCGCAATCACACATCTGGAATAATATCCTAAGGATATTATCAACAAGTATACACACAAATATATGTGTATACTTCCTACAGCTTACTTGTGATGGCCTGAAACTGCAAACACTCTACGTGTTCATTAACAGGGAAATGGTTGAAGCTACTACGGTACCTCTATGAGATATGATGTGGCTGTTAAAAATGAAGATACAGGTCTACCTTTATTGACCTAAAAAGATGTCTTCACTATAGTCTTATGATAAATAAAAAGCAGTTAAAGCTCTTAAATACACTATAACCCTTTTTTACTTAAAAATATCTATGCACAAAGCAACACAAGATATAATCTTGGGCAAGTTTTTTAACATAACATCCCAATTTCCTCATTTGTAAACAGCTTTACAAATGAAATGTGCTAATATACATAATGGAACTGTCAATACAATGCACAGAGTAGGCACTGAAATCAAGGCCACTGTGAATCTTCCATCTCTCCAGTACCTAAAACAGTACAAAACTATGCAGAGAAAGGGCCTTCTTCATTACACGGGCAACTAACGCCAACAGTTGGTATCCATCTTTCTACTTTTCATTCTAGGCACGTATGTACACAAATAAGTTGTAAGTGCCTATAATGTAAGTAAACATGCTGGGTTTTTCTTAACATAAACAGGTTTACACTATCAGTATTTTACTTCGAATTTTTAAAATGGGTTTTACAACCTTTCCAATGTGTATGAGAGCTCTCTACTCATGTCATGACACCTATACACACATTTATTAATTTCAACTCTCCCATGGGACAAAATGGCAGACTAAATATATGCAACCATCCCTACTGTTGGATGTTTGGATTGTTTCCAGTTTTCACCACTGCAAATAATGGCACAACAAATATCCTAATACACAGAATTTTTTTCTGCACGTTACACATTTTCTTCTTCTTTTTATTACAATATTTTTAGTTCCAAAGTTGTAATTGTTGGGTCATTTCAAATTTTAGTAATAACAAACTCATCCAAAAGGGATTTCCACTCCCACTGATGCTGCATAAATGCCCCCATTTCATTGCATCCTCACTAGCATTTAGTACCTCCTATTTTCACTTGACAAGCTCCTAGGTAAATGATACTCCATTGTTTCAATTTGCAGTTTTATGATTACTCATGAATATCTTTTTTATGTTGGCATTTTAGTTCTGTATCCATAAATTGTCTTTTACTTATTTTACTCACTTGTTCAACAGGTATTTACTGAACACCTATGACTATATGTAACAAAGTTCTGTTCTGAGCATAGGGAACACAGCAGCAAACAAAAACGGGAATAATAACCTCTGCTCTTATAAAACTCCCACGTTAGCAGGAGAGGCTAAGAACATGAAAAGCAAGAATGTTTGTTAAGGATGGAAGTCCACCACATTTTGGGCTGTCCTTTTATTCATCAATCTAATTCCATCTTTCTATTTTTCAGAACTTTCTAAAACTTCATGGCAATGATTCCAGTTTGCTAGCATGGATATGTGAAATCTGTTTGTGTGTGTGTAAGTTGCAGGACTGGGAGGAGACGAGGTCCACGAACTTAGTTTCTCTTCTTAATCCAATACCTATATTCACTTTTTAATTCAAGACACTTCAAAAGGTCCCAAGTCTATTTGGTGTAAGGATTGGTTATTAAAGTACAAGTGACTCTTTTTTCACTAATAAAAACTTAACATAAAGGACATAAATCTAAAATTGTACTAAAAAGTACAGTTTCTAACCACTTCAAAAGGAAAAAAAACACAACACAATTTAGAAGCCCACTGTGCCTGGATGAAAAATCATAGGCATTAATTTGTATTCCCTAAGTGCCATTGATGCACATCCAATATCTATTACAGTGAAGTCAGACATCATAATTTTTCTTCTGCATTCTCTGTATTTTATTAACAACCCATTTTTGTATTAATAAGCCATTATCCTTTAAAAAAATCCTCATGCTATTAAGTCTAATAACTAGGTGTTTGTTCCTTGATATATGAAATTTGAGTAATGTGTCTGAGATTTTCATTTATCAGTTATGCAGATGTAGTATTACCTGGCTGGGTTCCCAATAAAATAAGTAAGAATTTATATTCAAAGAATACACTGAGTGGCTCTTCCTAGAAACACAATTGGAAACATACATGAAAAAAAGAAAATGAAATAAACATACATAGAAAAGATGGTAAAAAGACACTGGAGCTATGTCTTCTGATCCTCTCCCAGCCCTGCTGAGAGCCCGAAACAGTGAGAGAACCACTGGCCACAACAGGTTGGGGATGAGACAAGAAAGGCAAAGAGTGAGCTCCCAGGCCGGTGGAAATGAACATAAGAACAGAGCGGGAAGAAAGCACCACCTACCTGCCGGAAATAGCCCTTCTCTGTGTTTCCCTGCCCGATGGTTATTTTTCGTAGAAATCGGTCGTTTGTATCCAGTACTGAAAGAGAACAGATTAGTTCTTCAGTCAACAAATACGGACCAGCCACCTGGTGTGTGTCTGGCATTGTTCTGATGCTCGGGAAGTTGCAGAGGGTAAAAGAGAAACGGTCAGGCTCCCCCAAACTGACCATCTAATGGGTAGACACAGAGAAAGAATCAAATAAACAAAAAAATATCTGCTAGAGGCCAAGCATGGTGGCTCACGCCTGTAATCCCAGCACTTTGGGAGGCTGAGGTGAGCAGATCACTTGAGATCAGGAGTTCGAGACCAGCCTGGCCAACATGGTGAAACCCCATCTCTACTAAAAATATAAAAATTAGCCAGGCATGTGCGCACCTATAATCCCAGCTACTCAGGAGGCTGAGGCAGGAGAATTACTTGAGGCACACTATAATCCCAGCTACTCAGGAGGCGGAGCTTGCAGTGAGCTGAGATTGCACCACTGCACTCCAGCCTGGGTGACAGAGTGAGACTCTCTCTCAAAAAAAAAAAAAAAAAGAAAACCCAACCAGCAACTTCCCTTCTTGGCATTACTTGAAAGAACCGAAAGGAGACACTCAGACATCTGTACATCCATGTTCATAGCAGCACTATTCAAAATAGTCAAAAGGAGGAAGCGACCAACAGGTGAATGGATAAACAAAATGTGGCACAGACA